ACATGGCGGGAACTTGCTTCTGGTCTAAGCAGTGCTGAAAAAACTGAGCCAAAGGTCCTGCCATTTGGTTTGCTGCTGCTCCCAATGCCTCAGGACGAATGGCGTCGACACCCGGCGAGCTGTGTTTGCGTAGAGAAGTCAGCTTTTGCAATACAGCTTCTGCGGTAAAATTGATGTGGGTTAGTCCTGGTGAGCAGAATACAAAGCTTGGTAGATTGCTTGGTGGCAAGACCCTTTGAAACGTGGGGGCGTATTGCATCTGTAGCGCCTTTGCAGCTTCCATAGACGTTCTTGTTGGGCCATCAGCCAACCAGTGGGTGATGTGTGACCCATGTGATAACCATTGGCCCAGTTATTCTACCCGAGATGACGACAATGCTCTGTTGACGCAGTCGTGCGCGGTGAGATAGAGAATGTAAGCATCCATGGCGTTAGAAGACATAGTTTGAATAGAATGATTCGCTCATAAGTTTCTCCTCTGTTGTTTTTCACAACACAAGGCAACTCAAGCCATTATTCTGATTGGGAGTACCTTAATGACACACGTCACAGTGATCTGAACAAACAAATAGTCTTCCCACTACTGGGTGTGACAGATATAGTCAGAAAAAATTGAGCAACCATTTTTCATATTCGAGTGTGACGGAGGTTAGTCAAGAGGATCGAAACCGTCGTTTTGAAGAACAGGCAAGTGACATGCGCCTTGACTGAATCTGAATAGGCTGTCACCAAAAAACTGCAGTAAATTGGATGGTAACCCTGTTTCCTCTGGATAACTCAGCTAGCGAGAGCTATTTAAACTGAGGGAAGAGTGCGTATAGTGATTAAGTTATCCATTGCATATGAAATGGCACCAAAGAACGTCTGTGAGATCCAGCGAAAACGGTGCTGACTGGAGCAAACACCTAACGGAACAATGCATATACACTCGTGAAACTCACGCTGTTATTTTAGCCATAAGATAACCTTAAAATGCTCGCCGGACACTTGAAAAGAAACTGCACTACATTTGTGTCTACTGTTAGATTGATCAGTCGAACTGAAAGAATCACTGTCATATTCAGTTCCTAGCTAAGCCACATGTAACTGCGATGTCGTCATAATGGACGGCTGTTTGACTTTCACTTGTGTCCGAGCCGGCAGATTCTCAGACTTGCTGATGCTTCGGAACTGACTCTCGAGAGGAGAATTAGCTCAGTTTGCTTCATCGGAAAGGAGGGTCTAAATGGAGCCGAGTCAAAATCGGAAGACCGATTAAACCGCATCGCATCTCCGTTTATGATTATACTATCGGCATCCGCTCTTGGAGTTAATGTTTAGTTAAGCATATTGTCTAAGTAAGGTCCAAGGTTTGCGGAAGAAACTCTCAACTTTCACAACGGAAACTAATGTATTATTTGAAAGAAAGGTCCATCTTGTCAGTAGAATTCACAAGCCCTACCGGAAGTGTGGTGATTAAAACGTGCACTTTAGTGCTTATCTTTGTGTCAGATTAGTTAGGAACAATAAGTTACAGGGCCGAGTACAAGCGGCTACTATGTCGACGCAAGAAATATATCCTTTAAAGGCGTTTTATAAACCGCCCAGTTTAATCAGCGTGCTATAAAGCCATCAGAATTATTCGTTTAACGCTACAACGCACGTCTTTTCGACCATCTTCATTGATCGTTTCAAGTGAAGTAGCACGCTTACCACTGAGCGAACTCGTCCACAACATTCGCTTGTGTAATAGTCGCCACATCCGGCACTGACAAATCGGATTAAATCGTGAGTTTGCATGTGAATTCTAGACACGGAAGGGATGAAGAAGGGAAAAGAATCCCGTGGGACCACTTATGGTGCTTCTGCTAGAATAACATTATACAGCAACTCTACACAAACCGTTCACTGGAATCAATTTTGAGGCTGTTTGCGACGCGTAGTTCTTCTATTCTCTAGTTCACATTGCCGAATTCCGAAAACAGCAGTGATGCCGATAGGCTTCTGTATTGCACGAATTCGATGGTTGGAACAACACATGGCATATTTACGGGGATTCGAAGCATAGTAAAACCGAATCATCGGAGTAATCTTCATTAAAATGGAGAGTGCAGGGGTCATCTTACATATATTCGGTTGCCGAACCATAGTAAGATAAGTACTTAGAGATAAGAAAATACCGGTTTCAAAATGTCATACGGGTTCGTACCATGTAGTGTTGGTCAGTAATTTCATATCGGAGTAATTCCTCAGAGTTGCCGAGTCAGAGGCCCTCCGTGGTATCAGCGCAAGATAAGCTAGAGGACCCCAGTCATCTGGATTTCGAGATGCAGATTTTCCACAGATATGTTCAATCGTCGACGATGTAGCGGAGGGAGTAGACATAGGGCGGTGTGACGTTCCTCGGTATGCTTCTTTCACAGCGTCTTCAGGTCTGCCTGTAGATAGTCTTGTTGAGGCTTCCAAGGTTGCGCAACGTGGTGTTCGTCCATCAGCATTGTCATGGAGCGTGTTACCAACGGTAGTGTTGGACTTGGGCTGAGCGATTGCTGCCGTCGGGATCGTGGGTTCTAAAGGCGAACTGGGCAAAAAAAGACGTCGTGATAAAGTTAACTCATCTGACGCTAATGGGTGGCCAACCGGCCAGCCGGCCGGATAAGAGCACCCAAAGTCAGTACTTTAGAATCTGAATGGATATGTCACTCGTGCCTGCTACTATCATTCAGCTATGGAAGAAATACTGCCTTCATATGGAAGGGAGTGAGATTGTTTTCAACTATCAGAAGAATACCCATGGTCATGTGCTAGGAATCAACATGAAATAGAAGGAACAGTTACTATATTACCCCTTGCATGGTATATTATCGCTCATGGTATCGGCGGAAAATGGAAGCATTTTGTTATACTCTGGAAGAAGGAAGGTACCTGCGATCTCTGAGATTGTAGCGTTAAAAGCGCACGCACTGTTAATTTTCCCTAGTGGCGTTTCGCAGTTGGCTTATTGAAAGACAAGTGATTTGCGAGTTACTGAGACTCAGCCACAGTTGAGTCATTGATGAAACGGAATAGCTAGAATGGTCATCGACTGACGTCTCATCCTTTTGTAGTGGGAAACCTTGATGCAACTAATAAGGTCAAACGAACGGTTATGTATGGGTAAAAGAGAATGCCTTGGAACCTCACTGCGCCCAGGAGATACGCGATTGTCCGAGTATGATAGAGTAACCGTCCTGTTTGGTCTTCTGCACCAATATCGGAGCTGGTGCATTCGTACCTTCCAAAAAAGTAACTGGTGAGTACCTCTATTCTAGTTCATTGTGTGTCTGTACATTCAAATCATATCTCTACTCGAGACTGATGTCTATGCATGCAACGTGCAATCAACCCATCCGAACTGGCGACAGGAATATTCCCGCAGCGAGGCAAACAATCACGTCTCAAGCTACCAACACATCGGCAGTAACAAATCGCTCTCTCTATAGGTCTACATCATACATGACTTGTTTACCGAATGCAACAGTGAAAAGATGCATCGTATCCTACGCTGGCCAACTCAGACATTATGGTATTCCAATTTACAAGTAATAACAACCTGTTTTGCAATTATGTGGATGACTCCAGAAATGTTAAATTAGGAATACCACCAATCCAGACGGACGGTGGCATAACGACTAATATGGTGGATACTACAGCCTGGCTCCGGGGCTAAGAATATCATGGATACTTATCCCTCCCTCCTTCAGCAAATGCCATCGGTTTATCCAGCGTCCCTATTATCACAGCAACTGTCGCAACCAAGGTCCAGTCCAACCGCGAACACAGTGCTCTGGGTATCAACAAGATTTGTCTACGTGTTCTAAAATCTGCTGCTCCCATCTGAGCAGTTAGTCTTGCGGCCTCTTCCTAGTGTTTATTTGAATTCCATACACCTCCATCTAAGTGAAAATATAGAATTGCCACCCCGATATTTAACAGTGATAAACCATTGTATCCTGCGAACCATCGACCTATTACTCTTCCCTCAGTTTTATCAAAAGTTATCTAGGCAATATCGCAGACGAACTGATAAGGTATTTTGAAAGTAAGCAAATGCTTTCCAATCTTCAAGATGGTTTCGGATTCAAACGATCTTGTCTCGCTAGTCTGCTTTTGACTCGTGACTCATGGGCCAATGCTGCTGATGAAGGAGCTCCCTAAAGTTGAGCTAATTAGACTTTGCAAAAGTATTCAGCAGCGTCAATCGCTCAGTTCCACCACAACATCTTAGTAGCTACGGGATCACCGCCTCTCTGCTCACCTGGGAGAACAATCAAAGTAAGAAGTGCCGGCGCACACTCCGGAATCATGTACGACTCCCGTTATGTGCTTCCAGGTTCTGTCTTCGACCCGCTACTGTTTGTAATCTAAGCAATGACTTTCCAGCAAACATTCAATCCCCAGTGCAAATTTGGCGGATTATGCTAAGATCTGAAGAACTATACGCTCAATATCTAACCGTGCCCGTCTTCCGAACGATGTAGACCGCATTTATGAATCGGTGAGAATGAACCTGCTCCTTCTGAACCCTGCAATGTGCCATCTCCTAACGCTGCGCAAGAGTTTCAACTCTCCATACCAATTGGGACAAAGCCTTTTGCAGCACGTAACTAGTGAATGAGATTGGGTAGTATCGTTCAAGAAAGGTTACGATAATCGCTTCAATATTTGAGAGCAACAAATGTGTCAACTAGGAACAAACAGCTTATGAGACGAGGTCTCGGTATGTTTGAACGATAACTGGTGCTCTTTTTGATCAACTCGTCTATTCGGCTCACGTTGCGTATGCGATTCCATTGTGATGTTCATGATTAAGACGAGAAGTTCATCTTTTGGAGCAACCCCAAAGAAGAGCTATCATGGCAACATGTGGATCATCTGGTCTCCAGTATGAATTTCGCTTTCCTTCAATAGTTGTGTTCTTCACAGAATACCGACGACCTCATTCTCACCTACCGGACACTGACAGAGAGTGATCGCCCATGTAAATCAATGCTAACCCTAGCTTCTCACAAGCAATGTCGAGGCCACAACCTGAAACAGCTGATACAACACTCCCACTTTGACGACAGATATCTTCTTTACTTTTAAAATCTGTTCAAGCTGGAATGCATTACTACCACAGGTGGTGAATGCATTAAACATCAGAACCATTGAAATACTAGTCGAACTGCATCTAAATGGTGAATGTTGCACAACACTGACAGAGTGTCCCATCTACACTGCTGATAGTTCACGCTTTACGATGAAACATTTAGACATTCTTTTTACCTTTTCCATCCTTTGAGTTTTGTAAAGATATTGCTTTTTAGTTCATATTGTACCATTCGACTATTGAAGTGAAAACGAGTGATCTATGCTAAATCAGTAGCGGTAAAAGTTATTTCCAGGGATACTCTCATAATGATATGGTCAAACAAATTGAGGTTCAGGTTGCGTTTCAGGTCCACAGTAGTGAATTCTGTTATTTAGCTATACGACGCAGCAAACTGAACCAGTATAGTTAATCAGTAAATATACTACCAACCTTAAACAAAAGACCTGTCAGAGAACTCTTGGTGGAATCCTACAGACATTCTAAGAAGTTGCGGTGGCATCTACTGATAAATCGGTTGCTATGTGGCAAAATTTGATAATCTAGCTTCAACATCTATGCGCGCACATTATTAGCAAGTAGATGAAGGAAAGGGCACCCAGCGGTCGAGTAACCTCAACGCGGTAGACCACGTGGATTTAACTCGAACCACAAGTCTAGTATACATTTCCTTTTCCATCGCAACGAGACTGGACCTTAACGTGGTGCAATGGTTTGTGCATCTCACTGACCCATTGAGCTACGCTGGGTGGCACTTTCAAGTGCCTTCAGAGCCACTCATACCAGACATGTCAATGGTTAGGAATCAGACTAACTCAGTCTCACATTCGCCCTGCTGCCTTGCGTGCAGGCTATTTAACCAAAGTCTCCGGGTGGAGTCCCCTAAGACAACTCCATACTTCGCCTTGGGCAACCGATAAGTTTCATGCCTACTAACAAAACGATGAACTGTTCAGCTGCAGTATCGCTCTCAGCTGCTTTTGTTCCTGCTAGCCACTCATTTCCAAACGCCACCTGTTCATTTGTTACCAATCAGTATTATCCGTTACCAAATGATTCTTGTTTCCATGATTCTACTCCGGATAGTTTCGTCGACACCCAGAGAGCTCGCCCAGTCGCACTCCTTCGGTCTCGGTCTTCGTTCCGTCTGGTATGCTTCAATGTGCGTACACTCATGCAGATCGGGCAGCAAGCTGGTCTTGCGTGCACCCTGGAATCCCTCGCCATCGATGTTTGCTGTCTTTTCGAAACGGGCTTCCAAGATCCTATTACTGTGATTGAGTTGAGATCTCCTACAGACCACGAGGCCATATTTCACCTACGTCCATCTGGTGACGCAGAAGCAGCTGCGGCAGGTTTGGCTGTCGTTGGTGTAACCCTAACTAGCAAAGTCCAGCCAGCACTGCTGGACTGGTCCCCGCTTAATAGCCGACTGTGTGCAGTTCGGCTTCGGGGATCATGCAACCGACGTCGTGGAGAGAGACGCAACTTGTTTGTGATCTCAGCTTACGCTCCAATTGACTGCAGTTCCGACTCCGTCAAGGACGATTTCTACCGTGAACTTCATCAGCTCTTGAGCAGCGCCTAGAAATCCGACATTGTTGTCCTTGCTGGGGATGTCAACGCGCGGGTCGGTAGCCTACTGGCATGTGAAAGTCACCTCGGGTTCACCACGCGCTCGATGAGGGCCGCTCAGATAATGGGGAGAGACTTCTCAAACTATGCGAAGATAATCACCTTTTTCTCTCGAGCACCAACTTTCGGCATTGGAGGAGACGTTCTGCTACTTGGCGACCCACTTCTACGTCTCAATCATGGCCTCACATTGATCATATCGCACTCAGCTTCAGATGGAGGGGTAGTGTAAAGGATTGCGTCTGCAATCCTTTAGTCACCTTTCTTGACTCAGACCATGCGCTTGTCGGTGCGAACATCTGCATGAGTTTCGGAAGGTCCCCGAAAATGAAGCACTGTAAGAAAGACACAAATAAACTATCTACTGTTTCGGTTCAGCAGAGTTATCAAACTTCCCTGGCTAGTGCACTCGGCTGTGGCCGACAGCAAGATATTGACGAACACTAGACGTACATACAGAAGACCAGGATCTCTTCCGGACAGCAAGTCTGCGGTCTTACTCAGCACCCTATGAAGGCCTGGATCTCCACGCGCACTTTGGATTTATTTGACTACCGCAGGAATATCCCAGCGGAGTTTAATCATGAGGAAGTGCACCGTTCTCTCAATCGGCAGCTCAAACAAAGCCTACGCAGTGACCGTGAAGCCTGGTAGTCCCCGCGTGCTTCGGAAATGTAGGCCGCTTTCCTCTCTTGAAATACTCGCAAGTTCCTCTAGCTCATTCGATCCACTGACCACAAAAGCCTGGTGTTGGTTAGACTATATGCGAAGCCATTGGTTCACCGATTGCCAAGTTACAGAGACGCTTGGACCGATGGTCCGAACATTTTCATTCCCAGTTTAACTGGCTCTCACCCTCCACTTTTATGCCCTACAAACCCAGCTGCCTGCCCTGGGTCGTCACACTTGAGCCGCCCAGCGAAGTGGGAGTTTCTTGCAATTCCACACCTAAGATGATACAAGGCTGCTGGCTCAGGCAGACTTCCTCCGGAGCTCTTCAAATATGAAGGCTCAGTTATCATTAGCCAGTTAATCTCATTATTCTCCAATATGTGGCACGAAGGAAAGGTGCCTTTTTCCTGGGGCGAGTCAGTTATCATTCTGGTATTTAAGGAGAATGCTCGCACTTCGTGTATTAATCGCCGGGGGATTGGTCTCATTTTGGTTGCGTCCAAGCTATTGGCATCCATTCTACTCCGTAGACTACCTCTCATTCGAGAACCCCAGTACGAAGAAAACAAGCTGATTTCCGACCTGGCCGCGGGTGTGTGGATCAGATATTCACACTCCGTCAAATCATGGAACAAGGCCATCTTTACCAGAGGCCCACCATCATTGCATTCCTGGAAATCCTTGCCACATTCGACTCGATTGATCAACCTGCACTATGGCGCTTGCGAAGGAACGGTGTCCCAGAAAAGTACACTGCCATCCCACACGCACTGTATTTTCACATCTCTGGCAGGTTTACGTCATCCTTCGCTGTCAATAGCGGTGTACGATAAGGCTGCCCTATGTCCCCGTTCCTCTTTGATTTTACCATTGAAGACATCCTATTGACAGCTCTAGACATTTGCCAAAATTTTGTTATACAGCTATTACCGGGCAAGCAAGAAACCGAATTAGATTATGCCGATGATATCGCCTTACTAGGTGATGACTCACAGAGCATGCAAAACATTCTAGACCGCTTAGCGATTGAGACATTTAGGTACGGAAAGTGCTTTGAGCCGTCAAAGTGTGAAGTGCTGCTTCAGGATCGACACTCAGCTGTTCCCGTGCTCAATATTGAAGCTACGCAGCTTACACAAGTGGATAGCTTTGTCTACCTTGGCATCTGTGTGTTTACTGGTGGTACCATTAGGAGGGAAGTTGCTCTTCGCATCGCCAAAGCTCAATCGGCGTTTGTCAACCTGCAGCACTTGTGGCGTCGCCGGGATATCTCCCCCTTGGTAAAGGGTCGTGTTTTCAACGCTACCGTTCAGGCGGTGTTTTGCTGTATGGAAGCGAGTCATGGTCAGTTCGCGTAGGGGATATGCGCCGGCTCTCAGTCTTTGATGATGGGTGCTTGAGGAGGATTGCTCGTGTGTGGAGGCAACAACACATTTGCAACAGTGAAGTCAGACGTTGTGTACGAGGGAACGCGCAGCTGCTTTGGCTACGCCAGTTAAGATGGCTCGGTCATGTCCTGCGTATGTCAGTTAAGCGATTGCCCTATCGCCCTCTGTTTGATTGTGAAGGACTCAACTGGAAGGGACCACGTGGTGGTCCACCATCTACTTGACGAGAGCAAACGAAATCGTTGACTTCACGTCTTGTCACCTTTGCATCCACAGGTCTGTCTGCTTGTGGACCAAAGGAAGAAAAATGCTGATGGCTGGCAGCAATTCAGGGTTTGGCTCGTAATTGAAACCAGTGGAAGATATGTGTATGTAACTGCTTAGATTTGGATACTTAATACTTAAAGATTAAAAACGGCAAAAATGAAATGGCTCCCACTACTCCTACTCCTACTCCTACTCCTACTCCTACTCCTACTCCTACTCCTACTCCTACTCCTACTCCTACTCCTACTCCTACTCCTACTCCTACTACTAGTAGTAGTAGTAGTAGTAGTAGTAGTAGTAGTAGTGGTAATAGTACTGCTAGTAATAGTAATAGTAGCAGTAGTGGTAGTAGTAGTAGTAGTAGCAGTAATAGTACTAGTAGTAGTAATAGTGGGAGTAGCATTAGTATTAGTGTTATTAGTGGGAGTAGTAGTAGTACTAGTATTAGTAGTATACATTATCATATCACCGTTTCGTTTATATGATGGCTACTGCCGTTTAGAATGTGCGAGAATGAAGTGACTGTTCGTTGAAGCCGCACTAGTTTTAATGCCATTTGTACTCTCCTACTTAGTGCCTTCGTGCGACCCTTAGACTTGTTTGGGGATGGTTGTTATTGAGAGAGGCACCTATGGATCGATTGGACTCCGTAATTCCTACCGGCATCCCAAGGCTAGATGCGTGGATTAATATTCGTCGTCGTATCTTGCGTCTAGCAAACGCAAAACTTTATCGCATAAAATTGTTGATAACGCCGAAAATAAAGTAAAACTTACTTGCGTATTGCTACTGGGAAAGGGTCTTCCGTGCAGCCTTTGTCCATGGAGTTACCACTGTACTCGGCCAATCTTCTAATTCGTCCCAGTCGTTCAATTTCCTCAACGCGAGCTTTTTCGAGTTCTTCTATGCGCCTCTGATTGCCAAAGAACGTAAAACATAATCCGAAACATGCATCTGCTGTAGAACAACGAAGAAGCTCACATACAGTGTGGTTGAGGAGTATGCGAACCCTATGATACCACTCGGTCACTTACTTCTTGCCCAGCAAGCTTCTGAGCAGCGCTGTCATTTTACGGTACATATATGCAGTGAGAATTGGAAGCTGGTGTGTACTAACTCTTGACCACTTACTAATCGAAGCTAGTTGCCCTCGACCGATTTGGCACATGAGGCAAAAAAAACCGGCCGTTAAGACAAGGAAAGCGTCCCACAATTTACCTGCTCCGGGAAAATTTACCCATTCGCTACTTTAAAAAACGAGGATATCCTCAGTGTTTTTGGTGTGATATCGTGGACTATAGGCCTAGATGTAGTTGTGCTGATTCCAAACGATACATTTATATGTGATGCGGCCTTTCGCCTCGGAAGAGTGGTGAATCACCCGACAAATCACCGCAGCGATGAGAAAGGTACTGCAGTTTCTCAAAACAACCTGTCAACTAGGTCTTTCGTTACAATGACTAAATCACTTAGCCCACGTAAAAAAGCATATAAGACATTACCAAGTATGCCGGTGTGTCTCCCAAATGAGCAAATGATTTTTCTAAAAGCAACCACAGAGCACTTCAGCTCAGTTCCACCAATCTGTCAGGCAACAAGTAGTAAAGTACTTGGTTTCGGACGGTGTATCTAGTCACCAATTTGGCCGAATCCGGAATCCATAAGACGGTAAACATTGCATGTAGGGGTATACCGTCGGCAGGTGTGTTCGGAGCCTGCTCTGGCCAAGGCATCACCACTGTCCAATAGACAACTCAGTGCAGTACCGGAAGACTGGTTACCAAGAGTCAACGGGAAGAAATTGGGGGTGAGAAGGGTCACGGAATAGGTCTTTGCTTTTCCCACTGCAACGTTGCTTTACGCTTTCTAATACGGACGCCTTGGTTCTCCGAAAATAGTTATACGTTTGGTTACCAATTCGTTGTCTTACACTGTTGTCTTATACTGTTATTCTTTTGAGATCTTTCTCGATTGACGCTCGAAATCAGAAGCATTTCCAGAAGAATTACGGCGAAAAGTAGTGGAAATGAGTGTCGACCTGTCTTAGGCATTGTCCTGTTGGCAGAATATGAGTCTAGCTGATTCGCTTCAGCAATGGGCGGTCGAATCCTCTAGAATTGTGGAACTAGAGGCCACAAATTCAGGTTTCTTAGCGTCCTGATGTCTTAAACACATTCACGAAATTAACAAAGATTCCGGTTGACCTTGCTCTTCTATAGGTTTGCAAAGGTAAGAACAAACATCCTACGGCGAAATTTCATGACCCTCCTGACACATGAAAGGTACGGTCGTTAGACGGAAACCTGTACGTATGCTGGAGACAGTTAGTTGCATACTGATGTGGATACTGGGGCCACATGACTTCATGGCCATCATTCCATTAGGATAGGCCCGTCAGAAAGCCTTCATGGAACCTGGAAGATGTCATTTCTTCCTTTATCCAAAGTTTGTACCGACCGATAACCTTGTTGTCTGCACCCTCGACGACTTCAACGGGCTGCCAGATGAACAAAGGCGAGCAGGTTTTGAGTGATTTCTCTGACTGAACGCCATGGTACGAGGGTGGAGTAATAAGTTTCCAGATGCATAAAAAACACTTTATTTTTTACAACAAAATAGACAGTACATTTTCTCCATCAGCGTTCATGTCCACTTTCAAGCGTACAGACCATTTGGAAAAGCAGATGGACCATGCCGAAGCGAGTAACCCTTCAAGTAGTTCAATGAAGGTCACTATTTCAGGTTCTGGAGACTAGTAGCGGATTCCACATGTTATGCACTTGACATTTGAGGACACAAAATCCACACGGAAACAGGTCTGGACTGAAGGATGCGTGACCAACGTCCTGGTTGCGTTCTCTAGCCAGAAAACCTACGAAGATATGGGATCTGTGTGCAGGTGCGTTGTAATGGTGCAGCAAGGTCCCTCGTGCTCGAATCCTTGGACGAATCTTGGCTTCAGATTCCAGCGCTTGTGGTAGACAGTGGATGGCATACCAGTCTCCGGTGACTGTGAATTGCCGTATGAGCGGTACAGTAGCCACATGACAAATCTTGGCCACGAACACGGCCAACATCTGCTCGGCCTCACTAGGCTCACTCCAGAATTTCTGAGGAAGCGCCTCACCAACGGCCGTCCACTGAGCCGGCTATTGTTTGCTCTCTGGGTAGAAACTGCACATCCATGTGTCACCACTGAGGGTCTCCCAAACAGCATTTGAGCATCCAACATCAAACTTAGTAAGCATGGTTCGGCACCAATTCATAGGAGCTGTTTTGTGGTCCTCACTGAACGTGCGCAAAGCTTTCTGAGACCAAGGTTCTCATGTAAGATGCCTCAGGTTGATCCCGATGGCTTTGCCCACTTGTGGTACAGTCACCCGCGCCTTCAGCATCCCTTGTACAACAGCAATGTTCTCCGCAATGGTGGCCTCCACAGGTCGACCACATCGTGCGTCATTATCCACGAACAGCCTGCCACGCTCGAATTCTGCAAACCACTCAGACACCGTGGTTTTTGAAGTAGCATCACCACAAAATGCAGCACACAATCGCTCAACACTGGTACCGCTTTAAACCACATTTGTAGTCATGGTAAATTATTGTCATCTAGTGACATTGACTGAGTTCCATACTCACAGTCAGAGCATAGAGAACGTATGACTTGTGAGCTGTGCTGGGCAGCTGATATAGGGTCGTGTGAGTTAAAATCACTGAACAATTCGTAAGTAGTAGGAGGATTTATTAGGTTTTGTGTAGATTCGTCGCACGTCGGCCGTCTAGCGCTTTCCTGGATGTGTGGTGGCTGTCTGCCTGTGTCTAACTGCGACGAATCTACACATATTCACTGAACAATGTTCAGAATGGTTTACAGTTTACATTTTGTTTGTCAGGTCATCTGCACCTAATCTATGTATTTCGTATCCGGAAACGTATTGCTCTGCCCTCGTATAGCAGCGTATTTACTGTACTAGAATGAATGACTCACGAAGTTAAAATTCCAGTTTGTGCTTGTTAACAGCATTTGGAAGCTAGATTGGCTAGGGCCGCGAACAACTAAGATCCGTTAAGAACGGTGGTTTCTTGCTAACTATAGTCGTCCGAGACGCATTAGATTAGTTGATATCCCATGGTGCCATGTAACGCTTTTAGGAAGGAAGTCAGTGCGCAGCAACATTGCCGAAACCAGAATACCGCATCTATGCTGCCGTTGATGGCAACAATACAACTGACACAAGATTTATCCGACACTTGGGCTGGTCAGTCTGGTGACCTCAGACTGCTCCGTTTGGTAATTTTGCGGCACAGTCGCTGAGGTGTTTCCCACCTTTAACTAATGTGTACAATGATGATGACACGATTCGGAATTATGTTTTGATTTAACACACAACCCTTAATCGCTTCCTATTAAATGGCATGTTCCTCTCAGAACATTAGAATGCTGCATTTCAAAACTATGTCCATTCCTCTACATTGAAATCACGTACGTCCAACTAGGGGAAAGCTAATTGGCGATTATCAGATGAGGAAGACAATAATACAGGGCGTCAGTCAATTGTGTACATAGCAGGGGTTTCGTGTCATTTTTCGTCAGATTCAGTTTATTCTCCGATACTGAATTTGTGTGTCGTGTATACGTGCTTGATGTGTATTTTTTGGCGGCTTTTCCATTGTATCAGTTGCGGTCGATCGGTTCATCATTTTGCCGAATATTTGCTGCGCTTCCGCAGCATGTTGAGGTACGAGAGACAGCCTAAGAGACGGCCGAGGAAATACCACCGGAAATGATGTTCCCAGGACTCAAGGTGCCTCGTTGAAGCATGATTGGTGTTTCAGAATAGGCTTCACTCCAACTGTTGCCCTTCATGTTTCCGAGTTTTGAGAAGCAACATAAAGCTTTTTATGCTGGTCAGTTGCATCTGTTACAAGAATCCCGCCTTCTCTGATCCTAAGCGTCCAAGTCACGCTTCTTTCATCCGAATATCTTTGTATCATTGTACCCAGGATCCGATCCGATGCCACAAATGTTTGTGAATTTTGCGCTCCCAAACTTGAAATGCTCTCATCACCTCGCGGTGAACGTCTCAAATGTTTGACCATATTTATTCTCCGCAAGTAGTTGCATCGCTCCCCCGTTATTTTCACTATTCTGCCTCACATATAGCATGTCTTCATTGATTTATCTGAAGAGCACAAGATTGATTGCACTGCCCGTAAATATTTTGGTAGGTGTATCCATTTGTTTCCGGTGCTAATTGGCTCCTCCAGCCCACACAACTTAGGACACCAAAAATTCTAACGGATCAATTTATATCGGAAAAATTTGGCCATCACTTCCTCATATTTTCGTATCATAATTCCGTCTAACCAAACTTATCCACCACATAAAAGCTACCAGTATGATGCGTGGTTACCTGCCTAAGGGACATTTGTACGCATTTTCCAGTTCACCCTTAATTACTGTATTTTTGGTGGGTGTTGGGGTTTGACTAAATTCGCGGCGATTGAGTAATTATCAAAAGGCACGCATTTGGATGTACAGAGCTTAATTTGACTTGACTTAGTTCGATGCTAACACTAGGTACAGCTAACGGTTTGCGGGAATATCAGTGACTAAAAGCGTCAGCTGCGCAGTCGTCAAAACTCAGTGACCCGGTCCCGGAAACTCACACAGTACTCCTGCTGGCTGTTCAACGTTGTGCACTGGGCTCACAACTGATAGACTAGGTTTGTATTGCCAATGTAGCTGCATAAGGCTGAGGACTTAAACGGGCTTAGCAGATCTGCTTGGTAATTTTTCAGTTAGTTGACCACATGTTGTACGGGTGCCTTGCAATCTGAACCCACCCTCCAGTCCCAGTGGTTTTCCGGCAAGAGTAGAAAGTGATGGGATGCAGCGATACATAGCACATT